ATCGCAGGCGCACCCAGTGGAACTGATCAGCCCAGGAACTGAACCCAACCTCCAGCCGGCCAGAAGCTCGAGCACGCGGCAGCTGCCCCCTGCATGTGAGGTTGTTCTGGGCTCTCACCCAGGCCCTCCTGTGTGGCTCCAGTACCACGCCGCAGCCACCCACTGCCCACGCCACTGTGGCTGGGCTGTGGGTAATATTTTCATACGTGACTACATCGGGACTAGTCGACCGTTCCCGACTGGTGCCGCTTTCATCTCCGCCATCCCCCAGGGTAAGCGTGGTGCGATCGACGTTGCGGGTGAGAGAACGTTTCCAGAGTCCAGGGACTTGGCCTTCCTGCCTATGCTGATGACATGTAACCTCAAGACTCCCAACCACCCACGCCATGGGATTCCCAAGGGCGAGACCGTCAGAGTGACCTCCCGCCCTGAGTTCCCGCTCTGGGCGCTGGGCCCTCCTACAGGAGTCTGTGCGCGGCTAATTCCCCCTGGGCGCCACGTCCGCCCAGTCGTCCTCTGGGAAGCTGACCAACCTCTCGGCCAGGCTTGCTCTGGGCAACCGTGGTGGCCCGCCTCCAAGACAGACCTTCCGCAATTATGCTCACCTGGTACTTACTCCCCGCTGCCTTGGACAGATCCGTGATGTGTACCAGCAGGGTGGTCAGAAAAGACAGTCTGACTTTTTTTTTTTTTTTTTTTTTTTATTTTCCCTTTTGCTCTCCCCGAGTGAGAGGCAGAGAACCTGACCCACGGTCTACCCCTCCGCTTCAGCCAGCCCTGGGTCCTGGGAGGGGTCAGGGAGGTCTCCAAACGTGAACCCAGAATCTTCCCTGGAAGATCGGCCTTGTGGAGTGTCACATTTTACTTCCACCCCACTGCCTGCCGCCCCCACCCCCATTGAATTTGTTCCTTCTTTCCTTTCGAGATAGAGAGACAAGCACCCTCTAAAGGGTCTCCTGTCTCAGTCCTCCCCCCAGCATCCCGCCAGCCAGGATGCCAGGCTCGTGCCTGCCACGCGTGCACAGCTCGGCCTAGGAACTGAACCCGGTACCTTCCAGGCAGCGTCGGCATCAGAGACTGGTGTGCCACCACCTGGCCCGACAGGGGTCACGTCTGAGGCAAGTTCATGAGAGGCACTGCAGCTTCTGTCTGATCCTTTCTCGGATCGCTCACGCCCTGAGGGGACACTCATGTGTCCTTGTGGAGAGGCCCATGTGGTGAGGGGCTGAGGCCTTCAGCCAGCCACGTGAATGAGCACCCAGCACACAGCTCTGTGAGGACTGAATTCGGACCACCTTCCTGGCTCTACATCCTTCCCAGGGTCTGGAGACAGCCACACCGACAAGCCAGTCTTATTAGACAGGGCTCTCTGGCCCAGTGACTGTAGGTCACGCCCCACGCCCTGACCTCGGCTTAGCATCACATGACAACTAGCAAGGCTTTCTGATCTCTGTTAAAATTAGACTCAAATATCCTTTCTCCTGACTCCCAGTTTCTTTAAACAAAGGCTAGTATTGTCCCTTCTCCTGCAGTCTCCTCTTGGGATTTTGGGCATGCATGCACATGTTCCCGGCATGAATTTTAAGCCACTGGATCTGGGACTTGAATCATTGTCGACTACATAGGAATCCAGTGGTGTAGCCATTACACCATTTGCTGGTCCCGAATGCTAACTAAAGAATTTCTAAGCGGAGACTGATAGTTGGCATAATGGCTATGTCGCTGGACTCGCACGTAATCAATCGCGGTTTGAGTCCTGGCCCCGGCGGCTTAAACTCACGCTGGGTACATGTGTGTGTGTGCCCAAGATCCCAAGAGGAGAATGGAGGAGAAGAGATTGTGGCGTGGCCATTCCCCTGGGAGGTGATTTCTTGCTTTCTGTCTCTCTGTCTTTCTGGCAAGTGCATGTGCCCTATAGCAAAAACCTCTCCAAAAAAAAAAAAAATCATGTTAGGAATCAGCAGGTTCGTGTGGTTATGGTCGACGAAGGTTCTAGTCCCAGACCTGGCAGTTTGAGACTAACGCCAGAAGCATGTATGTGTATGCCCAAAATCCTGGGGCGGGGGAGGAACGGAGGAGAGGGACTGCAATGTGGCCATCCTCCTGAAGGGTGATTTCTCACTTTCCCTCTCACTGTCTCTCTCTAGCAAAGATACACTTCCTATGGAAAAGCAATAAAAACAAATTCGTGGGGCTGGCAGTTGGCATGGTGATTAAGGGCACTGGACTCCCACATGGCTGACTGCAGTTGGAATCCCAGACCTGGCAGCTTGCTATCTCACTCCTGCTCTCTCTCTCTGTCTTACTCTGTCCCTCTCTGGCCAAATTAAAATAAATAAATAGGAACCAGCAGGTGGCATGGTGGTTAAGGCACTGGACACTCCCATGTAGCTGACCATGGCTCAAGTCCTGGACCTGGTGGCCTACTTTCTCACTTTCTGTGTGTGTGTGTCTCTCTCTCTGGTAAAACTAAAAAATAAATTTGGGCCAGCAGTTAGTATAATGGCTATGTCGCTGGACCCCCATGTAGTTGACCGTGGTTTGCATCCTGGACCCGGAGTCTTAAAACTCAAGCCGGGCACATGTGCGTGCGTGCCCAAGATCCTGAGAGGAGAATGGAAGAGAAGGGATTGCGGCATGGCCATCCACCCTGGGGAGTGATTTCTCGCTTTCTGTCTGTCTCTGTGTCTGGCGAACACACACGATCTATAGCAAAAACCTCTCCAAATAAATAAATAAATAAATAAATAAATAATAAATCAATGATCGGGACCAGCAGATGGCGTAGTGGCTATGTTGCTGGACTCCCATGCAGTCGACCACAGTTAAGTCACACTCATGCTAGTGCAGGTGTGTGTGTGCCCAAGATCTCGAGAGAAGGATGGAGAAGGGATTGTGGCGTGGCCATCCCCCTGGGGGATGATTTCTCACTTTGTATCTCTCTGTCTCTCCCTGTCTTTCCAGCAAGCGCACGTGCCCTATAGCAAAAACCTCTCCAAAAAATAAAAAAAATGGAAAAGAAAAACGAATAAATAAAATAAAATAAACAATTCTTTTAAAATAAATAAATAAATAAAGTTCAATAAAATTTCTGCACAAGTCAACGACTTTAGTTTAATTGGCATGGGCTACAGTCAGACTCGAGGCCTGGTGTGAAGCTTACACTGTCTGTTCTGGTGGATGCGAAGAGCATTAATGCTGGAGGCCACAAACTTGGGCTTGCCCTGGAGCTGGAGGCTTAATCCAACTGAAAGAAACTTCGGAATGGGTATCAGATTTGGCCTTGATATATTTCTATTGTGATCACCAGGCTTTCCCCTACAAGAAGGTGATCAAAAGAGGATGATCTAATGCCCACAAACTGATGAATGGTTAGAAAAACTGTGGCACATATACTCAATGGAATACTATTCATCCATAAAAAACAACAAAAGCCTGGCTTTTGAAAGGAAGTGAATGAATATGGAAGATTTACTGCTGAGTGAAGCAAGCCATGCAATGAAGGAGAGGCATTGTATGTCCCCACTTAATATATACCGAGTGTCTGCACTCTAAAAAAAAAAAAAAAATCGAAACCATACTGCTTCTGTTGTTATAGAGTCATAAAATTATACAAAATTATAAGAAATATTTTGAACATTATCTTTAAAATTCAGTATTTTGAAATTTTGAAAATTGTAAACTGTCAAGAACTATGGAGTATGAGCTAAAATTTTTTGATATGTACAGTAAATGTTTGTGGAAAAATGTAAAAATAAATAAAGAAAAGAAAAGAGGATGATCTAAACAAGAGCTGTATTTTTTTAAAATTATTTTATTTAACTTTATTTATTATTATTATCACTATTATTTTCATTTAAATGTATTTAACTGTTGAATGCCCTACCCACTGTTAATGAAACAGAATTTTATGAAAACTGTGCAACTGCATGCATGTTTGTTTTTATGTTCATTTTAATGTTGAATATTGCCATTGAATGAGATGGATCAGTGGCTCTTTTAAGATGAGGTTAAAAACTTTTTGTTAAATTCAAACTATCATTAGAATTACTTTTGGTATCTGAGGACCAGCAGTTGGACAAATGGCTATGTCACTGGACTCCCATGTAGTTGCCCGCAGTTCGAGTCCCAGACCTGGTGGCTTAAACTCACGTCAGGTATGTGTCGGTGCGGTGTGGCCATCCCTCCTGGGGGGGTGATTTCTCGCTTTCTATCTCTCTCTCTGACTTTCTGGTGAGCACATGCACCCTATAGCAAAAAAAAAAAAAACCTCTCAAAAAAAAAAAAGAATTACTTTTGGTATCTCAGAACATTGCAAATTATGAATAAAACAAGTGTACGTAAAAAAAGAAAGAGGTGAAGTCACTGGCACAAAGTCACACAGTGAAGACAGTAGCGGAGACATTTATGCACAGTTCTACCTACCAGACTCACCCCTTTAAGCCATTGTTCCCCACAGGGATATATTGAACGGAATGTTAAATGAAGTACTGGCAGAGCTGGAAAGTCACGATTCTGACTCCCCAACGATGTCTCTTATTTAAAACAATTATTCTCGGGGTGGCAGGTGGTGTGGCGGTTAAGGAAGCTGGATTCTCACATGGTCGACGGCTGTTCGAGTCCCAGATCTGGCAACTTGCTTTCCCTTTCTCTCTCTCTTTGATTAAATGAAATAATAATAATAATACATTAAATTAAATAATTCAGAGTTAAATAATTCTTTAAAAAATAAAACTATTATTCTCAGCATGCTTTTCTTGAGGGACAGTGGAGCGGAGGCGTAGGGGACGACAAAAACTACACCTTCCAGAGAGCAACACCTGACTCGGGGCTG